TCGATAGGTTAGTTGCTTTAGATGCTCGCCAAATGCTGAAGCCATAGGTAGATCGGATGGATGATGGGAGGGAGAATTTGGGATGAAGATAGGACTGACCCTGCCAGGGGTTAGGATCAATGCTAACTCACAATCTCATCCAGAGGTCGTACTGGCTATCATTGATCCTGAATCATCAAGCAGGTGTCAGAAGATAGTCCCAAGTATAGTTTGCTTTGTCTTTCTGTCTTTTCAGATTCGTATAAATTTTGGCAGCCTCCTGTTCCTACGGGAAGCGCTGCCGAAATTTCTACAAATCTGGAGGAGTTAGTCATTTTTTAGCTTGTAGAAATTCTGAAAAGGCACTTTCCCTACGGGAAGCGCTGCCGAAATTTTGTAGAATTTGGAGAGTTAGATTATTTTCAGTTAGGGAAAAATCTGGCAAGCCATCCTGTTTAGGGGATATGCTGCCGGATTTTCTTACATTTTTAGATACACATCAGAGGTTAGTTAGGAAGGTAGGATTGTATCTTGATCACTCAAGCATGGCTTGGGTACTGGCCTGTGCTGCATTGCAGGTCATCTTTATTCAGATTGATTACAGGCTTGACTAGCTTCGAGCTGATCCTACGAGGATCATCTTCTGTTATCTTTTGATAACAGGTCGGTTTCCAACTCAACTCTTATCCACTCTTGCCACTCAACCTAAAGGCTTTAGCCCTGTGGTTTGATTTGTTTTGTTGTGTTTTTACCCGGACTTTAATTGAATGACCATTTAATAAAAATGCTGAGTATTTTATTTTGAGAGCTGCACAAAGAGTGAGGTTTGTATGGCTAAAGCGAGGGGTGTGAGCGAAAAGAATGGTTGAAGTTGACCCCGTGTAGTGTGTGCTCCGAGTCTGTTGGTGTGGATCTTTGATGTGGTTACAGGTATGTTCTGTGAATTGAAGTCCATACTTGGCTTTGAGTATGATTATATATGTATATATATTTGAAGGAAGCCACACCGTGATTGTGGGAGTGATCGTCTCCTATCTCACAACTTTTATACCATATTTTTTTGTGTCCGCGCGACCCATTGAGGTCGCGCATAGTGATTAAGTAAGGGCTGCACTGAGAGAAAAGAGAGGTCCCTGCTTAATTCTTGCTTCTTAGAGCTATTATGGTTGGACGTTGTAGTCCGTGGCAGCCGTCAAAGTCAAACCCCTTGATATTTGACCGCCACGGTAACTTGGAGCTGTCTACTCAACCCCTTTGCACAGGGTGCGGAAGAGGGTGTGGTCTTCAACCGCACATGGCGCCTGTCTGGCGTCGAGAGATTGCCTCTCAAAGCGTCTGGCAACCGACACTTGAGTATCGAACGCGACCCTCGAGAATATCAAGGGCCGCGAGGCCACAAGTACCGCGTGGTACCCCATCAGCATGAAGGTTTGCGTATGTTCGCATGGCTGATTGACTTGAGAAGGCCATACAGTTACTCAACACTTATATGGAAGTCCGGCGCGCGATACTTGTCTGATTCTCGTCGCTTAAGGTTATGGGTCGGATACTGAAGGAACTAGGAGTTGTTGTGTCGTGGCGTTGTTTATGGTGTTTGTGTTGTGTATGTTTTCATGTGTTATGCGTGGGTAAATGTGAGTGTTGTGGTGTAACGTGTGGTAGGTGTGATGCGTCATAGTCGACCGACGCCAAGTCGAGCGTTGGGACTTCAGCCCCCCAGTGCGTCGATTCGCGTGCGGGTTCGATTGTCGGGCGTTCGACCGCGCGTACCCCCTATGCTACAGCGAGCGAGAAACGCCCTCGGTTGGGCCACCTCTGCAATTGCATATGAAAAACCTTCGCATGTGGTTCAGGTAGCTCGGCGAGGATACGCCCACCTAAGGGATGGTGACAGCTCCCGCAGGTGGAGGTAAGCGGTGCCTCGCGTGACCCTGTCCTGTCGTAGGGGCTTGCGAGAGGTACGGCTGGCGCACTCGGCCGGAGCGGCAAACGCTCTCAGCGACAAGTCCTGCATAATCCTGCGTGACGCGGCCGGGAGGGTCCCCGTGTGGGACCAATGCGCTCGACAACGTCTTCTCAAAACAAGGAGGGCAGGCACAACGAAATACACATTTTGCAAGAGGCAACTTTGACAATTTTCTGTGCTCGGACGAACATGCACAAGAATCTGAAATTTTGAGAATCCATATATGAGGTCGTGTCTTTCCAGAAATTCTCTCTCTCTCTCTCTCTCTCTCTCTCTCTCTCTCTCTCTCTCTCTCTCTCTCTC